CCTTAAACGTCCTCTTGCCAAGACATTCTGCCCAGCTATTTAAGGGCCTAAGAAGCGGGGCTGCCAGGTGGCCGTGGAGCACGGGCAGGCCTGGGTCTCATGTCCTGCGCTGGGAGAGGAACAGCGCCGGCCCGTGGTTTCGGTTGTCCCTAAATCCTCTCAATACATTCCCTGTGTGCTGTTTGTCCCTCCCCCTGGCTTCCCTACTGTGCCCTAGGGCACTACCCAGGAGGTGCTGCCGGCTCCCTGACTCTGGGTGCCAGCTGGCCTTGCCCACGGGGCACACCTGCTGAGGGCAGATTGGAGCTCACCCCAGCCCGGGCCACCTGCTCCCTGCATCTGCTACCCAGAGCTGCCCTGCGGACCCCCTCCACGACCACAGCTCCCGGAGGACACAGCACCGCACTCCTTCAGACCTGAGGTTGGGAGCACTGCTGCGTCCCTGGGCACGTCACTGTCCCTTGTTTCCCTTTACTAATCGAATGGTGCCCTTTGAGCTGGCCATCTTTTCTTGCCAATGCGTTAACTAAGGTATCTATTAAAAATCCTTGAAAGACACACCTGTTCACATGAAGTGGCAGCGCATGCCAACACGCTGCAGGGCAGCTCCTGGCGGCTCAACAGGACACAGCCTCTGTTACCACCCGCCCCAAGCATGCCCGGCTGTGTCCCCCAACATCTACTGCCTTCAGCAGAAATGCCACTGGAAGGTGGATTCCAAGCCAGTGTCGTCCTACTCAAAGATTGGCCTTTAAAAAGTGCCACATGACTTCTTCACAGTGCTGCTCTCAGCTGGACACAAGCAGACCTTCCTGTCCACCAGCAACTTTGCTTGACCAGAAATGTGTCCATGTGCTCACTAAAGGCATGTCCAGGGAGCAGTGTTAGTAGTGTTTCTCCGCCTCTGGGAACCAGCGCAGGGTGATGCAGCTACACAGTGAAATTCTACATAATATTAAGAAGGCTCTGGGGCTGGGTGCAGCTCAGGGGTGGCATGCCTGCCAAGCATGCAGGGTCCTGGGTCCTTCCCCAGCACTGGAGGTGGTGGGGGAAGGAAAGAAAAAAAAAGACCCAGACCCATCTACTATACGTAAAAGGAACATGGACGAAACACACACACACACACACACACACACACACGGTGCTCGAAGAGTCCAGACACAGAAGGCAGGCCCAGCAGCAGGGATGGATCCCAGGGCACTCTACTACTGAGCTTTTAGTTTTTGAGACAGGGCCTCACTATGTTGCTCAGGCTGGCCTCAACCCTGTGATCCTCCCACCTCAGCCTCCTGAGTAGCTGGAATTACAGGTGTGTGACTCACCACGCCTGGCTGGTTCCAATTTTATAGTTAAAAAACAGGCAAAACGTATCCATGGTACAAGTGGAGAAAGAGGGTGACCTGGAGCAAAAGGATGGTGTGGCAGTATACTATTCCTTAATCTGCACCTTGGTGTTTGTGAAAATCTACCACGCTGCACACCACTGGTGTACACACTGTTTGTCCCTTCTCCCTGGCTTCTGAGTGCCCCTTATACGTGAGTGTTTGTATTTTTATCAGTGCCTCATGGAATCCCTACACGCTAGAGACACCAGTGGCAGAGAGCCATTCCAGGGCTCCCTCTGCAGGAGGTGGGAGCCGTCTGCACAACCGCCTTTGCACAACCAATGCTCCTGGGGCAGCAACAGAGACACAGCAGCAGGAAGGGCTGAGCACCAGCTCTGCCACCTGCTCTTAGGCCAGGACCACAGGGACAGGGTGAGGTGTTCGGAAAGAACCTGGGCCTGTCCCAGCTCTCCCGGACAGCTGTGTGGCCCCGGAAAACACCTCTCCTCCCCCACCTCAGGTGCATCCTCTGGGAACTAAGGAGGGGCTAGAACCAGCAGTGCCTGAAGCCCAGGACTCTGGTGTTTCCCCATTACAATCTCCCAAGGTTCTTATTAAAATGAATTCCAGAGCCACATGCCAGACCTGAGCCATAGCTCCAAGGGTGGGCCTTGGTTATACTTTAAATCCCAAGATAACTGCGAGCCAGGTGTATGGAAAACATGGCAGAGTGGCCTAGGCTGGCCTTGAACTTGCAATCCTCCTGCCTCAGCCTCCCAGGTGCTGGGATCCCAGGAGTGCGCACCGGACGTCCTCTTCTCTTCAGCACATAACACTGGGTTTCTCCCTCCTCTCCTCCTCCGGGCGAGGCGAGCTCATCCGCACTGGTCACTTCAATATGCTGCCCTCCATCCAGCCAGCTGTCCACTCCTCCTCCTCCACTGCCGTCTTCCTGTCCTCTTGGCCCCAGATTTCAGGTCCCGGTAGCACTTGGTCCCACAGGGCATGAGAAACAGGGCAGAGCAGCACCGAGCTGGAGGCCTGGAGAGCCGGTGCCGCCATCTGGCCCTGATCTTTGCAGGGAAGCCGATCCATGGCAACCTGTCTTGTACTGTCCACTGTGCCCTCCACACTCTTGGCTCCTAGGATGCCTTGGGAGAGCTCCCCATATTATTTATTTATTCTGTGGTGCTAGGGATAGAGCCCAGGGCCTCATACATGCTAAGCAAACCATCTGCCACTGAGCTACATTTCCAGATCCTTTAGTTCTTAATTCTAATCTTCCAACTCTGGCTGAGCACGGTGCACATGACCTGTGATTCCGTGACTCGGGAGGCTGAGGGGGTAGAAGCACAAGTTTGAGGCCAGATCCTTGTGCAGTTCAGTGGTAGAACGCCTGGGTGCAGTTCAGTGGTAGAACAGGCTTGGGCTCAACCCCAGTCCTGAGAAGTTCCCTACACAGAAGGGAAATAATAAAATAAGGAACCTTGGAATAGCAGGAAGGAGGAGAGAAAAACAGAAGGGGTAAGACACGGATAACTACCACAGACTTTCTCCTGTTCCCTAAATTACACTTGAAACAAAACTGTGAACACTAACATGGTTCTCAAAGTAGACAGAAAATCATACTGGAACCAGGAGAAGATTATATGTAGCTTATTTAGCAGTCCACTGGTCTCCATATAATGTAACACTTTAAAGTACTACTACAAAAACTATAAAAGAAATATAGTCAAAAATACTATAGACAGGGCTGGGAATACAGCTCAGCTGGTAGAGTGCTTGCCTCCCATGCACAAGGCCCCGAGTTCAATCCCCAGCACCACACACACACACCAAAAAAACCCCCAAACCTAGGGACAAATCAAAACTATATTCAAAAAAATGTCAAAGTAATCCAAGAAAGAGAAAACAGAACAAACCCAAAAATTAAAACAGCAGACTTAAGCACTAACATATCTATAATTACATATAATAGGAACAATCTAAAAACATCAATTAAAAGAAAAAGATTGGCAGAGAAAAAAATAAATCATGCTAAATGCTGTTTACAAAGCACTTCCAATGATGTAAGCAGGTTAGAAAGCAAAAAAAAAAAAAAAAAAAAAAAAAAAAAAACCAAACAAAGAAAAAAATACACCACACACACACAAATTACAACTGGGCACAGTAGAACACACCTGTGATCCCAATGACTTAGGAGGCTAAGGCAGGAGGATCTCAAGTTTGAGGCTAAGCTTCAGCTTAAGCAAGGCCCTAAGCAACTTATACCGTCTCAAAATAGAAAAATAAAAAGGGCTGAGGATGTGGCTCAGTGGTAACATGCCCTTGGGTTCAATCCGCAGTAACAGAAATAGAAAAAAAAAAAAAAAAAAGGAAAGCACGAAGTCACGTACTGTAGGATCATAGTTCTAGAGACGTGGAAGAGATGAGGGGCTGTGGTGGGTTAGGAATGGGGGACAGGTGTGGGAGTGACAGGTGACGGTGCGGGTGGAGCAGCTCTCATCTCGACGGTGGCTGCAGAGTACAGCAATGGAGCGGAGTTCACTGTGTGCATGCCAGAGTCCTGGTCTTGATGTGGCACCATCTTTCCGTGACATGTGAGCACTGGGGGCGTGGCAAGAGTCCATGGGTATCTCTATATTCTGGTGCAAGATAAAAACACATCCGCAGCCCAACAGCAGCCTGTGAGTTTTGCCCGTCTCATTCCTCCACCTCCTCCTGGAAAGGTGACGGTGTGAACCTGCACTTTATGCTCTGGTCACTACCCAGGACAGGACGTGGGGGGAGCCACCAGGCTGCACCTTCAACCAGAGGAAGTGGGGGGACCGCTAGCCAGCAGGAGGAAGAGAGGGACCGCCAGTCACTGGGAGGACTGGGCTGCAGAGTCCCAGGGTGAAGGAGAGTTCAAGTCAGGAGAGGTCGGGACAATGAGGCTCCCTGCCCAGACTGCTCTGGGGACAGGGGCCTCTCCTGCCACCCTCAGTCCTGACTGAAACGGCTCAGGAATGGAGGTGAGTGGAGGGAGGGCCCACTGCACTGGTTCTCTGAAGCCCTGGCCTCCACTCTCCAGGCCTGATGGCCTGCTGCTCTGGCTCCCCTGTGGGCAAGGCTAGGGACCTGAGGTCGGAAGGAGCACAGCAGGGCTCTACTATGGGTTAGAGTTGTGCCCAGTGTGCCAGCAGCCAAAAGCACCACAGCCTCCACCAGAGGGGCCAATGCCAAGTACAGATGTGGAACTGGAGGGTCCTCTGGGCCCAAGTTCACAAACAGCCTGGGGTTGGGATCCACGCACCCATCTGGGGCTCAGCGGGTCGACTGTGCAGAGGGATGCTCATCTCTAAGGCCCAGCCAGAGGCCCACTTGATCTGGGGGAGGTGCACTGAAAAGGAGCACCCTGTGGGCCAAGCCAAGCCTCACCTCCTGGCTGACCTCTCTCCAGCTCCAGGTCGGACCCCAACACAGTGCACAGAACAGACACGAGGCCACCTGGGTTCTGTTCTGTTTCTGCCTCTGCCTGCTGTGTGGTTTCTCTGTGCCTTGGTGTCCTCACAGGTCAGAAAGGAACCACAGCACCCAACACTGGTGGGGTGATCATGGGCTCCACTGTATGGGTGTTATCTCTGGCACCCATTTACCAGGTAGAGAAAAACAAGAAGTCAAATGAAAACAGGCTGAAGTGAGCCACGGTGGTCTGGGTTTTTTAATTGTTTCTGCCAGTGCTCGGCTCTAACCCACCCAGCCCAAGGCTGTTCTGCAGTGGGACCAAGGGTGACAGAGGGTCTTCGCCCCTCAGTGACCTCTCCTGAAAGTCCAAGGACATCTTCCACAGGACATCCACACACACCCGTCACCCAAGAACATAAAGGCTTCTTGATCTTTCTATGTTTTCCACCATGAGTATTGCCTCTGAGGTCGTGGCCCCGGGGCTGCCCCAGATAGGTAGGACAACATATGAGTTTGTCTTTGGTCCCAGCATCAGTCAGAAGCAGCCCCTCCAGCATCGTCCAGGCTGCTCACCTGTCACAAGGGTCATCCATGGCCTTCTGTGTGTCCTAAATGAGTCCCCAAAGAGTCGCGGAGGTCCACAGTGTTAATGCTCTGCTCTTCTGGCATGCTGTGACCCACCACACAGCCACCAAGACCCTGAGCCTTGGTGCCTCTCAGGTCTCACACCTTCCTTAATTTACTAGATTGCCTGCTGTACTCCAGAAAGCAGCTGCCTACAGCTAATGCCAAAATGCCACCCGCCCCTTGATGCCCTGCTGAGACAGGGAGGGAGGGTTGGGCTGCAGGAACACCGTGCTCTCCTTCAAGGCGGCTGCTCAGGCCGCTCTGAGGCCCTGGGACTGAACATAGGTGGTCTGGCGGGGGTCGGGGCCCAGGGCTAAACACAGTCACCCTGGCTGGCAACCTTTTCAGGTGTGGAAGGGAAGGGAGTCATCTCTGGAGCCCAGGTTCAAAGTCAAACACTAATAAACTACCTTTGCTCGGTGTCGTGAAGAGGCAGGGTGGGGCTCAGGGCTCCATTTTCAGCCACCAGTTCCCCAGGGAGCACGATCAGCAGGGCTCAGGCTGGCACTCGAAACCCTGCCTAGTAGAGTCACTGCCACTATCGTTCCACTTACAAGCAGGAGACAAAACATCGTGTGAAACAGAAATAGAAATCCCGGAGCCCAGCCTTTGCCACCCTGCTGCCCAAGCGTCCTCCAGGGCAGTGGCATGACCATAGCTACTGTGGCTGGTGGTCCCTGCCTCACCTCCAGGCGCTGCAGACAGGCCTCAGGGTCCCCCTAACTTGGGGCTGCTGCTTCTCAATTCTGGCCAGATGCAGAGCCCAGGCCCATGCCTTCTGCACTCAGGGCTCTCTGGCGCCCCCGCCAGCTGCTTCCTGGACCTGCAGGCTCTCTGGACGCAGCAACTGCCCAGCACATGGGGAAAAAGACAAAGGGCCAGCTGTCACCCCTTGACAACTTCTGCTCCCACAGTGGTCAAAGGGGCTGGAAGACAACACGGCCCAGTTCTCTTCGCCTTCATCATGAAACCTCTGAAAGCCGAGGGCTCCAGCAGGCTGCTCAGTCCCTGAGGTGGTTTCTCAATTCCAAGGGCTGCTCAGCATAGCAGGTGACATCCAAGACAAGCCCCGCTGGTCCTTTACTGACTGCGGGCTCCTGCTCTTAACCCTACAGCCCAGAGTGGTTCCCGTGTCCTCCTCTGTGACAGTGCAGTGAGTGGCGAACACAGACCCAGGTCCAGCTGTGCCGAGCTGGGGAGGAAGTGCCCTGGACCAGACCCGACCAGATCTGCTGAGAAGGGGGCATCCCAGGAGCCGGGCTCGCAGGTCCCAGATGCTGCTGCTCCCCTGCATGGCCTAAGGGTTTCTCGACATTCAGAGGCCCAGCCCTGATGACAGTTGGCGGAGCAGCAGAATGACCATCTTCAAGGGGTCTTCAGACACTCAGCTCAGCGGGACCGTGCACTAGCCCAGGCCCACTGTGGGCAGCCATCACCAGCCTAGTAAGGAGGACGCGTGGCTTGGCGTCTTCAGGGGGCTGGAGGCAGGCGCTGTGGCAGGAGAGCAGTGAACAGGGTCAACATTTAGCCAGCAGCCACCTCCAACCCCTCACCCGTCACCCCACTCTTCTGACATCCCAAGTAGCCCTCAGCAAGGAAGAGGCTGAACACAGGACGTGAGCAGGAGCACCACACTCCTCCAGCGACGGCCCAGGCTCTGCAACCCTCCCCCTCACCTGCAAGACACAGGTGACAGCGCCTGCTTGCAGGGTGGCGCGAGGATCAGTGAGAGAGCTCACAGAGCACCCACAGTACCATGGGTGCTCACCCCAAGGTCGGTCGGCTCTTCCTCACTGAACTAGATGAGAAAAGCAGAGCCCAGAAAGGTCAGGTAATTTGCGCAGGATCACACTGCTAGCTGAAAACAGATAGCCTGTTTGGTGATCTTTCCTTATACCGTACTGTCTAGCAGTGTGAAAACAGAGATTTTGGAGTGAGGAGTCAGCAAGCCCTGATCTCACACCCACCTTCTGTTGGAAAAGGACCACCCTGGGCCACGCCCAACACCACACACCCATCTTTCTCAGGCAAAAGCCAATCTGGCATCCACACCATTGGGTCCAAGAACAGAACTCTAACTACCCCGTCCTTCAATTCAGGGGTGGAGAAAGAGAGTCCCAGTGACCAGACTCTCTTCCCAGCATTAACCAGCTCCCTCCAGGCCACAGCAGGCCGGGGAGCAGCACCTGCTCTAGAGGGAAGGATCTGAGGTCCAGCTCTGCACCAACATGGCACTTGCAACGGCAGTCAGCCCGAGACAGGGTCCAAGGGCTTTGTGGGTCACTTCTATCAACCCACCAAGGACCAGAGCTTTTTTACTAAATTGTTTTAGAGCATGAGAGGGAAAAAAAAACACACACACACTTCCTGTTTCATTCTTTAAGGACCAGCTAGACAAGGACAGTGTGTGTGCACGTGCACACATCCCACACACATGCAAAGGAGGGGAGAAGACAACTACCAGCCAATCTGACTGATAAACAGGCCAAAATCCCAAGTAAAAGATAATCAAAAGAAGAAAACATGCTTTTCCTTGGAAATACTGGTTTCTTTTCTCATTTTGTTCTCAATTTTTGATAGGGTCTTGTTTCCTTTGTCTGCACAATAAAAATAATTAGGGGATGTGTAAAAACAGAATAGGAAGCCAGGCATGGTGGTGCATGCCTGTAATCCTTGCTACACGGGAGACTGAGGCAATAAGATCCATCTCGAAAAGAAAAGAACAGGACGTAATGATGAGCCACTGAATCTAGAATTCAGATAGTTCAGAATAAGAAAATCTATTAAAATAACTCATTTTTAACTGATTAAAAAAAAGGAAATGTTCATACTCATTTATCTTACTGGATTATAAAAGACCAATAGACACAATTAAAGGCCCATTATTTATCAAGAGAAAGGAAAAGAATAAAGATGATCTTAGCAAACTTCCTTGAGGATCTGCATTTTCTTCCTTTTCTTTTTCTTTTGTGTGTGTGTGGGGGGCACTGGGGACGGAACCCAGGGCCTTGTGCATGCCAATGCCCTCTATGCCCAGCACCCCCAGGAGCTGCACTTTCAAACTACAGGAAGAGACAGATCCAGGCTACAGAACAGACTGGAATGTAAGAGCAGCAGAGTTCAATTGAGGACAGAAGATGGACTCATCTTTGCCTCTGTGAACACACAAAATAAAACTCCAAGTGGACTATGGAACAAAGCAACTCATAAAAGCAGCGCAAGAAAATACAGAAACAGAGCTTCATGATGGAATGACAGGAAAGCCCTGGAGGGGGCTGTCAGTGCTGGCTGAGTGGCAGCATGAGTTTGCATAAGGCCACCAACTGCGCTCAAATGTGGCTAGTGTGGTAAACTGGATGCTGATGTATTTTGCCACAACTAAAAATTTAGAAAACAAAAAGATTATTTTTATATTCTTATGATAGGACTAGCTTCCTTCAGACAAAAAACTTTGGATGCATATAGGGAAATATGTAAGGATTTTACTATATATGTTAAATGTCCATATAATAAATAATCTTAAAATCAAAGCTAAGCACTCAATGCTTCAGTTAAAAAAAAAAAAAAAAAAACCCCAGCCACTAGCCAGAATAAACAGGTACTTTTACCCTTGTGGCTGGAACTGGAGATTGGCTAAATGAGTTGAAGGTAGTCAGCAGCTGGCCAGATGTTAGCTGCACATACCCTCCACTTACTGGTCTCAAGCTCACAGAGACGCTCCTAGAGGGACACAAGCATCAGAAGCAAAGGCGCTCACCATGTGACAAAATGAAACCCAACCCTGCCCTTGGAGGTAGTGAGATGTGCTGTCAACATCCACACAGTAAGAACTTGCCAACCTCGGAAGAGACGGACAGGTCTCTGCAACTGACAGGAAAACACGTCACAACACTATCCATAGACAAAGGCTCGTTACAATGTAAACTATGCTCTGTGACCTCTTCTTTCCTAAAATAAGTAATAAACTCCATATGAAAAAAAATCTGGGAGACCCCACATCAAGCTGTCATAGTGAGATATCACCTCTGGGAGGAGCGTCATGGGAAATTTTCACCTTCAAAATTTCTGTGATATTTGAATTAAAATTTAAAGTTAACATAACTGCTTTTATAGCTGAAACAATAAGGAGTCAAATGAAAACAGTTCCGCCCTATGCAAAAAGAGGCAGCTATGACCCTAACCAACGAATGCCAGGCACTGATCTCTCTGCTGTTTTCCCTGAAGAGGAAGAGGTGGAGGGCTTGTGGACAACAGCTCAGGAACCGTCACCTGCCAGCAGTGCAGCTTCACAGCACCTGCCCTGGCTCAACAGAGCACACTGGGGAAAAGCATGCTCAATCCTGAACTAGACCATTTTGGGGTTTAACCTATAATCTTTGGGTAGCTCCTCAAATCGCCATTTTAAGATTAGAAACATTTCATTTGAAAAGGTCACGATGGAAACCAGATTGGCCAAGAGGAGCTGATGGGCAAGAGCTGTAAACCTGGCTGCACCCTGAAGACAGCAGTGAATGCCGAGACCTCGAGAGGCCGGGAGAGGCCTGGAAAGCTGCAAGAGGCTGTGACCCCTTGAGTGCCACCCCTGCACAAGGAAGCCAAGAACAGGAGGCTCCAGGGAACGCCGCACACAGGCTCTGCTCATGTGCCAGGAATGTGGCAGAAACAAGGCTCCGCACGACAGAGCTGTGAACTCCACATAGGAAGAAAAATTGCGAGACCCACGTCAAGCTGTCATAGTGAGGTGTCACCTCTGGGAGACCTGACCTGTCCACAGGCGCAATACAGCGGCAACCCCTCTGGCTGGCTGTCCAGCCCACCAGCCCCACACTGCCCAGACTACAACCTGTGTCCTTGGTCCTTTCAGGCACTCACCTGGGAGCTGGAGGGCAGCACCTGGGAGGTGGCCTCCTCAGACGGAGCTGCTCCTGAGCCCATGGGACTCAGCGTGGTGATCCTGCTAGGCTGGCCACGGAGAGTGAGAGTGATGGTGGTGGGGACCTTCAGGCCTGAGGGCGACAGCAGGTAGGGTTTCTGGCCACAGTGCCCACTTTCTGCTAAGGCTTCCCGTCTCCCCAGCCTCCACGCCAGCTGGACATTTGTGCCCCACCAGTGAATCAGAAGCAGCAGGTAACCGCTGGTGTCCTCTCACCCTCTAGAGGGTGGGTCCACACAGCTGAGCCCAAAGGTAAGGCTAGGACCCTAGGGGGTGGGGTTCAGACCTGGCCTGCGTAAGATGGAAAGGTCCCCGGGGAGAGCCCAGATCTGGAAGTCCCCAGTTTCATGAGACTCACCTGATGCCTGGTTAGAGATCTGAGCCAGGCCAGGGAGGCTACTTGCTAACTTAGCAAGGCCCCCATTGGTCAGCAGCTGGTGGATGGCTGTGGGCTTCCCACCAGGAGTGGCACCCAAGGAGGAGAGGGTGGTGGCCACAGGGATGGTACGGACAATGGTGCTGGTGCCCGTGGTGATGGCACCCAGACTCTGCATGGGGGTGGGCAACTTCACACTGGCGGCCTGTGGGACACACAAGCCCAGATGATCAGAAGCTGCGGCCCACCCGCAACGTGCGAGCTTGGAGGGCCCCCAAACTAACATGTACTGAGTGCCTGCCACATGCAGGGTCCCCTTCCAGGGTCTGCACTTACCACCTTACCCCTCACAACACTGTAAGGGAGCCACCACCACAATCTCATTTTACAGAAAGGTAAAGAATTTTGCCTAGGCCATAAGGTGAATAATGGATCTTAACCTCTGGTAGCCCCCAGCTGTGTGGCAGGACGGCTGTTTGTCCTTGGCCCACAATTCCTGGCCCAGTCACCCTGCCCAAAACAAACAAGGCAAGGAAGCCTCCTCCCATAGCCGCCCAGCAGGGGAAGGCAGAGGCACACCTGTGGGGCTGGCCCAGGGCCAGGGAGGCCAGGGTTCCCGGAGGAGCCAGAGCTCTTGCTGCTGATGTCCTGCAAGCTGAAGCTGAGGCCCTGCAGGAGGCTGCTGGCTGATGTGGCACCTAGGGGAGGACAGGACGGCACCAGTCCAGGTCAGTCACGTTCTTTTTGAGGACCACTTTCTAGCAACAGACCAAAAAGACAGCCGGGAGCAAGGAGGCTGGGCAACCAGATAGATACCTGGGAGGGAGCCGCCAGGAGAGGTGGCCACCAAGCGGCTCTGGAGTGTGTGCAGGGTGCTGGGTGTGGTGCTTCCAGAGACCACTGAGGGGGCTGGGCTGGCCGCCACACCTTCAGAAGCACTTGACCTGCAAACACAGAGAACAGAAGCTTCACCCAAAGGTCAGAAGGCAACAGACCCCAGTGCCACATGAGGGACAAGCGGGCCCCAAGCTCTTCACCTGGACACCTCTGAACCACCCAGCCCTGGTCCTCCTAAGTCAGGCCTAAAGTAAAGAACTCAGGCCTCAGAGCAAGACCCAGGGCATGTTCCGCAATCTCTAAGTAAAAATGAGCCCTGGGCTGACCCAAGTCCAAGGCAGACTTCCCCATGAGAAAGAAGCCACAGTCCCATGACCAACAGAACGCAGACGCCACCATCTTTCCAAGCAACAAATGAACCAGATGAGGGGTGACAGGAAGAAGGGACCAGGACCAAACAAGCAAGACTCACCTGGCTGTGGGGAGCAGTCCACCTGCTGACGCCTGCCCCAGCGTCACAGCGATGGCCTTCCCGCCCGCCGCTGAGAGACGGAAACCACCAAAGTCACTGTCAGTCCTCCCTTCCCGAGACCCACAGCCCAGGCTAACAAGACACTAGGGGAAGACTGCAGGACGAAAGAGCACAGTTGTCAGAGGGGGGCTGGGGCTTTCCTCCCTCTATCTGAAGCTTTCTGGAGTCTCCCATCATCTTTCACTGAAACCAAAGCATGCAGCGGCCCTGCGGCGCTTCCCATCTCCCTCACTCTCACACCTGCTGCAGCAGGGGGAAGGTGAGTCACCCACCCGCGGGAGCCAGGCCGAGGCCCAGATGGCTGGCCATCTTACTAAGGAGGCCAAGAGACTCACCATCTGGAGCTCCTCCCTGGGAAGCAACACAAGGCCCTCCAGCCGTGTCCCCCTGAGAAATAAGGGACACCTTGATCTTGGGTCGCTTGGAGGTCTTACTGCCGGGAAGGGGGCTGGAGGGGTGATGCCTCTTCAGCTGAACCCTGAGCTCCTCCTTCTCTGCTTCTTCTGCTGGTTCTGATGAAATGGGAACTAAGAGACGGAGCTGAGGTGAGATCACCATGAGCCAAAACAGCATGTCCTCACTGCCAGTCACCGCCAGCATGGGCCACCTTGGGATCCTACGGGGGAACCGCCCCACGTGGGGCCCACAGTCCACAAGCCCACCTCAGAGGAGGCTCCACCCCACCCCCAGCTGCCCTGCAGTGGGAAGGCGAGGCCGTCAGCAGGCAGGATCTAGGGGCACACACGTTGCCGCTGCCTGGGAAAGGTCACACCACAAACGGACTCACCATAGTGCAGTTGACAGTGCTGGCCAGAGCGAAGGAAGTGACCGCTTCCTGCTGCACGGCCTCCCCCCACCGTCCCTCAGCAGGAGGACAGTAAGCACTCTATGGAGAACCCATGGAGGAGCAGGCCACCTGCTCCCCTGTGAAAGGGAGCCCCTCAGCATGCTCTCGGGGGCTCCACCCTGCCTAAGGGCAGGAGGCTAAGGGCCTCCCTGCCAAATGGAGGCCGTGAGAAGCACTGTCACCAGGACTTGAGGCTGGCTCTGAGCAGCCATAAGGTGAGGGAGACCTCAGCCCAGGAAGCCTCAAGCTCCTGCCCAGAGACAACAGGGCAGTGGGGGCCTATGCCGCGTCACCCATGCTAGTACAGAGAAGGCCATCTGCTTACACACTGACTCGAACAGACTCGTCATGCGCATGGTCACACTTTTGCACCTACGCTGTCCTTAGGTATCCTCACAGGTCCCCTCCCCCTGACGCCCAAAACTCCCCCAGGCCCTCTCAACACAGGCGAGCAGGGCTAGAGGTGGGAAGGAGGGCAGCAGTCACATGAGGATGGGGGACTCCTGGCAGGGGGCCACCAGAGGGCACCACCAACTTGGGGGCAGTGCTTAGGGACAAATGCACTGGTTGAACTCAGAGGTGGCGGGGAGGGGGGGCCCGGGAGCAGTGATGGGCTTCATGCTGGTGAAGGGCCAGTGTGCCTGCAGCTGCCAGGAATGAAACGAGGAGACAGAGGTGGGGGGCACACAGACAAGAAAACATGCCACAGGCTACAGGCCCAGGCACACAACGGAGCAGCAGAGCAAGAGCCGCAGTGAAACAACCAGTCAGAGAGAAAGGAAACCCCAGGAGAAGCAAACACAAGGACAGAGAGCAAAGACCAAGGTGGGAAGGAAGGTGGGAAGAAGGGAGTCGGCCCAAGAGAACCAGGAGCCAGGAGGAGACCACGGAGGTGAGGGAGGAGGAGGACAGCAGAGAAGAGCAATACTCACCAAAGAGACAGGAGGAGGCGCCAGGAGGAAGAGCTTTCCTCACCAGCATGTTTTGTTTCAGAAAAGCAGCAAACTGTGCTAGAAGGAATCAGAGAGAATTACAGAATCACAGCCAGCCAGAGGAACAGGAAAGAAGGAACAGGAAGATATGAAAACGGTCCACGGGGCTCTCTGAGGTCACTGCCAGGGTTTCCTGAGCTGCCAGGCAGGAGCTCCACAGAATCATCTACACACTGGACAGGACACATACCGCCTCACAGGGCCATGGTCAAGACTTACGAGATGAGCAAGGCCAGGGCAAGAGGAAGGCGTGAACAGTGAGGGCTTCCTTTCTGTTGGCTATTACTCCACGCTCACCCACCAGCTCTGCTAAAGCCAGGCTTCCACAGCTGCTCCTATCTCCTAGGGCACTCTGGGTGCTGTTTCAAGCCCAGCCCACCAGAACTAAGTAGATTCTCAACTAATCATGCCACCCATGAGCACCACAGACCACAGCTCGTCTTCATCAACCACCTAAAGGTACACTGCCCACCCAAGACTTGGCTCTGGCCAACATTCAGGAAAAGGACTGTCACAGGGCATCCAGGCAGATCGTAGGGGCCCAGCCCCCTTTTTGCCTTTGCCCACGCAATCACCCTCTGCTCCGGGTTAGCAGCTTTCTTATGAGCAATTTCCCAAGAGGCCTGGGGATAAGTTCTGACCTCGTGACTCCACCAAAAGCAACACAGGGGTGTCAAGCCGATCTGCCTCCTCTCGTTACCTGATAGCCAACTCCAGCCACTGCCCCTTCTGAGCACTCTCACTTCCAATTGAGAACCCTGATGACCTGTGCACTTGGATATGTCATCAAGTATCTTGGCCTTAGCCAGGGTCGCCCACCAGGATGCCTATGGCTCAGGGAAGGGACTGTTGCTGCTGCTTCCTTGACCCAACAACCTCCTCTACAGCTCCTCACATGGCCTTGCGGCCTCCACGCTGAGCTCAACCACACAAGCATTTCCCTCTACGCTTATCTGTAGAGTTCTCATCAACTTTGTGGAAGGTCCCAGAGTGAGAACCTTAACCTTGAAGAAAGGCAAAGCAAAGGAAGGGCCTACACCAGGTGACATGCCCTAGAACCTGATGACTAAAATCGGTCACTCCATACACACACCGTCAGCAGGAGTGGCTGACGAGGCTTAGAGCAAGGGAAGACAACAGCTTCCCCAATTAGAGGTTAGAAAAAAAGGTTAGGCCAACGTGCACAAGTCAGCTCGTAAACCTGACGTCTCCAGCACACCAAGGCAAAGCTGTAACTAGTGACCACAAAGCCCCAGTAACGCACAGCCCTTGGGATTCACTGTAACCTAATTCTGCCTGGACAGGAAGGTGGGAAAGGAGCCGCTCATACTCTCCTGGGAAAAGCTGCAGACCCAGTGCTTCCCAACCGCCACCTGAAACCACCTGCCGAACACAGAACCCACAAGAGGCCACTGGGCCCGGAGCCTGTACCCTGGGCTTGTTTGTGGGTCAGCATGGCTTCTGCCCGCTGCACGTGTCTCTTCAGCAGCTGGGAGCTCCCGATCTGGCTGGACTTCTGAGCAGAGGTCACTGTGGTCACTTTGGTCTTGGGACTGGAGGTGGGGCTGCTGGACACACTGGAGAAATCCTAAGGAGAAGGCCAAGAGCTGAGCCAATGTTCCTTGGAATTGGACTATAATCAGCAGGTCCCCCTGGAGCCTCCTCAGAGGGACTCACAGGCACCCCCAGGAGGCTGGAGAGCCCACAGCGAGGTCCTCACACTCAGCAAGAGGGCTCCCTCCCGCCCACCCTACCTCTGAGCCTGAGGGTGAGGCGGGCAGCTTGGCGGCCGGGGAAGCAGGTCGACTGCCCCGCTCAGGGACTTCAAAGGCCAGGTCTCTTCGAGCCACGTCACGGGGCTTCTTCTTCTTCTCAGCATCCTGATCCCGAGGCTCAGAGCCCACATGGCCCTCAGAGCGAGTGAGCACTCCCGTCAGAAAGTCCACAATCTCATCCTGGTGCAAAAAGGAGCCAGGCAAATGAGTCCTCCACCAGAGGACAGAAACTCCCAGAGAGCATCAAGCCAATGTGACCCTACTGTGGCTTTGGCCTGAGTGTGCTGGTGCTTCCCCACTCACAGCGCCTGCGCAAAGCCCAGGCTTCCACACAGCTGCAGGTGCCTCTGTGTCCTCCATCCCACTCCTGCAGACCCTCTCTCCTGCGCTTGGCCTCCGCCCAGGTCATCACTCTCCTTCACTTGTGAATTAGGCCTACCAGAGACCCCAGGGATACCCCGCACCCTTCAGCGAGCTGCTGCCAAGACAGAACCTAAAAGGCAACAGAGGAGGGCCTCGCCAAGAGAAGCACGAGACAAGGGCTCACCTGAATACATCTGTCCACCATGCTTTGAGTCAACCCTTCTGATTTCTTCTTTGCTTTGCTTATTCTAAGAGATAAAAAGAAGAAAATGCTTACTTTTTAAATATTCCCTAGCATCCTAAGGAAATAAGAATTTATTTCTCTTCTATCACTTCCTGGACCCAGGAAGTAGCGCTTTATTAGCCCTCGGGCAGGTGACACAACCTCTCTGAGCTTGTGTTTACATCACAAAATGGGGAATGATAACACTCATTCAGGGAGTTGTGGGAATGAACTAAACAACCCACCTGGAAAAGCAGGCACAGTGCCTGGGACTATCCCCTCCACAACTACCACACCTCTGTCTCAACAGGTAAAGTCCACCTGGACTTCGAGGCCCTGAGAGGCTCCCAGACTCAGCCTCCTACCCTGAGGTTAGTGGTTTAGCAGAAGAAAGGGGGTTCCAGGCTAGTTCTGAAAGAGTAAGAGAAAATGATCGTAGTTGGCTGGATTCCCCACTTTGAGAGCTAGCCTTGAATACCCTGGCTTCTGACCAGAGATCCTGGCAAAGGGACAACCAAGTCCCCATACTACAGGACGGAGAACAGTATTACTGAAATTCCAAATCCTGAAATCCCAATCGACTGCTGTTGCCTCTGAACCTGGGCAACACCCTCGTTTCTCAGATGAGGACAGTGAGTGCCCAAATTTCTAAGCAAAGGGGTCAATATCAATGGAGGCTCCCAGTTCTCTGTCCAGTACTTGACACACGCAGCCAGGCACGCAGTGATTCCTGTGATCCCAAACACTGAGGAGGCAGAGCAGGAGGAGCCAAAGTCTGAGGCCCGTTTTAGCAGCTTAGTGAGACCCTGCCTCAAAAATTAAAAAAAAAAGCAAAAGAAACAAAAACAAAACAAAACAAAACAAAACCCAAAATCACCACATGAATGTCATAAGCAGCCCACAAGGAAAGTGAGGAGCAGCAGCAGTCACCTCTCTGCACTCCCTACAGAAACTCAGCACACACAACTTTCTCCCGTAGACGAGAAGATCTGAATTTCTAAGAAAACCAATGTAAATAAAAGATGCACCCTCTTTTTTAGTACACTTCACGACAATACTACTGAAGTTCTCTGTCCCAGCATCGAAAGGCAAAAGCAGTTATCTCGTTCCAAACTTCAGCTGTATTTGTACTCCAAGATACATCAAAAGAGGCTCAATGCAAATAACATCTATCTTCACTCATCCTCAATAGGAAACACAATTTTTAAAAATGCCTACTCCAGTGAAAGTACACTGACAAGGGGCTGGGGTTGTGGCTCAGGGGCAGAGCACACTCACCTGGCATGCGTGAGGCACTGGGCTCGATCCTCAGCACCACATTAAAAAAAATAAAATAAAGATATTGTGTCCACCCATAACCAATAAACAAACAAATAAATAAATAAAAGAAGAAGTACACTGACAAAAGAGTATTTCTGCAGTGTCTCAAGGAGGCTTCCTCCTATAAGATAACTACTAACTACAAAGGGAAAAACAGTAATTTCGTTGTAGAGAACCTGGAAGAAGCCACCTAAACCACTGTAGCAGAGGGACTATCAGTGGTGATAATCTGTGACAGGAGGAACAGGAATTCTGTTATGGGAGTAAATGATAAGGGCCAAGAACACAACCTTCTGTGGCATTCCTGCCAAAAATGCATGTCTTCAATGTAAGAAGAAAAGTGAAAACCCAAAGCGAGGGGCCAATAATTTTCAAGTGTCAAGGTCATAAAGACAAAGGAAGCCTCGTATGGCGGTGCACACCTGTAAACCCAGCAACTCAGGAGGTTGAGGCAGGCACTACAAGTTTGAATTCAGTCTGGGCAGCCTAGTCTCTGTCTCAAAACAAAGCTGGTGGCGGTTCAGGAGGCTGAGGCAGGGGGATCAAGTTCACAGCCGGCCTCAGCAACTTAGCAAAGCCCTCAGCAACTCAGTGAGACCCTGTCACAAAATAAAAAATAAAAAGGGTTGGAGATGTGGCTCAGTGATGAAGTATCCCTGGATTAAATCCCCAGTACCAAAAATTAAATAAACTAAAATAAGTAAAAACCAAAAAGGGCGAGAGTGTAGTTCGTGGCAGAGCACCCTTGGACTCAGTGCCCAGTGCCATGGGGTAGGGATGGGGAGACAAAGGAAGGAGACTGAAGATGCATGGCCACCACAGAGTTATGTGGGATCCTGGATTATGTGGAACTAGGAAAAGGGCCTTAGGGAGACAACTGATGAGACCCGAGTCTACAGATTAATGCCATTACAGCAATATTTACTTCCTTACTTTGAGAATTATCCTTCAGTTATGCAACATGCCAACATTTGGGAAATCCAGGGGAAGGGCATATGATTTTTCTTGTCCTCAGTTTTGTAATTCTTTAAAAAAAATATTTTTATAGTAGATGAACACAATATCTTTATTTTATTTTTATATGGTGCTGAGGATCAAACCTAGTACCTCACACGTGCTACGCAAGTGCTCTACCAACTGAGCTATAACCCCAGCCCTTTAACTTTTTTTTAATAGATCTAAAATTAATAAAAAATGCCTACTGTTAACTATTAAGCAGGTTATCCGCCAGTTACGGCGCCACCTTACAATATTCCTCCAACACTGTGACAACCCCAGGAGAACCTACCCACCTGAGATTGTCATCAGCTCCCCCAACAACCACCAAGCTGTTTTCAGCACGGATCTTCTCCCGGAAGTCCTCCATGGCTTCAGGGTGACACTGCAGGGAATTCTGACCAATGACAAAGAGGACTGGAGTCTTCATATCCAAGAGGGGATCATCCACATCCTAAAAGAGGTACAGGGTTAGATCTGGCCAGTTCACACTCAGCACTGACCCCAGCACAAACAAGGACGTGCTCCTTCTATCTCCTGCCCCCACCGTCAGTGACCCTGCTTCATCTCGCTCTTACCCCTCGGGGGCCGTCCACGGTGAGCAGAGGAAACCCAAGGCAGACAACTGCAGTGACATACTCCATGACTGACACCTGTGGATAATGGCACAGTCTGTCTGGAGGGAAGTGACTTCACTGTACCTCAGCCTGCCCAGTGTCGAGGTGATGTGCAGACCCACTGGCCAGCCCCACCTCCTCTTCCTCTGTCCTAACACAAGATGTACTGACCCACGGCAGCTACCATGGAGAGAAGTGGAGTCCTCTCAGATGGGGAACCACAGAAAGGGAGGTTTCTTACTTCAACCTCGTCAACCCGCTAGGCCGAGACTTCTTGTCTCTTTTTCTCCACCAAGAGTACATACACAGCAACAAGCGTTGCCTTTCTCCCTTAAGGAGAGACAGATCTCTCTGCTCCAGACGTCTCAGACTGTGGAAGAGTCTGATTCCCCCTCCCTAGAAGCAGGAGTGAGGGTGGCCGCCATCTCCCTCTCTGGGCTCTCGATATCTACTCCACCAGACTTGACTGACTGGGGCTCTGGATACATCAGGGGTACTTACACAAACTGTGGAAACGTAGTACAAAGGAAGGGACAGAATATGAACACAACATCAAATTCCAGAGCTATTAATTTGTGCCTGAGATTAATTTTTTTAGTTGGGAGACTCCTATGGTACTTATACATGGGAAAAAAGGAATCCAGGAGTTCTTGTGTTTTTTTTTTTTTTTTTTAAGAAATGCTGAAATGTGTAAAATGAAAGATATGATATTTTCTTCAAAATAACCTGAGTGGTAGAGAAAGCAGAGGCAGGGGAAAGATGGAGCCAGCCTGCCATGAGCTGGTCACTGGTAAAACTGGGCAAGAGGTCTGTGGTGTACTCACCAGCTTTTCTCTGCTTTGGTTCCTGCTTTTCTACAATACAGTTAAAAATTTCTACAATAAAGTTAAAAACTAAAGTCTGGGCTGGGGCTGTAGCTCAACTCCAAAGTGCTTGCCTTGCACATGAAGCACTGGGTTCAATCCTCAGCACCACATAAAAAAGTAGTTACTTTAAAAAAACTTTAAAAAATAAAACAACTACAGTTTTGTCTTTTACAGTTAAAATGCAATCATACAGTAATCATCTGGCACTGGGACCAAAATGCCATGAGGCCTCAACGGTGGCCCTCAGAAGCAAGTAGTACTGTACCCCAAGACGCCGCCAAATGTGACGGACACCACTTACCTGACAGGCCACCAAAGCTCCTGTGTTCCAGCCGATCAAGATGATGGGCTTGTGTGGGAAATGGCTGTGAATCTTCGTAGGAAGAGAAAGACGACAGTGAGGAGGAGGCTGCGCTGGGGCAGACCCCCCACCACACCGGCGTCCAGGCCACCCGAGGCGGGGCATTCTCACCTCCAATACTTTGCTTCTCACCGCCCCGATCATATGCTCAAGGCATTGCAGAAGGCCCACCCCACTGCCGTTGTTCAGCAGATGGGTGGCGACAGGAATGACCTAGAGGAAAGAAGGGCACCGTGCCATAGCGGTAAGTCCAATCTCTCATTCTGCCTACCCTGCTCTGAATCCCTCAACCTCACAGCAAGCACTGTTTGAACACCAGACAAGAGCCCTGGACGGGATGCTCCTCGTTTCAAGTGCGTCCATTTTGACCACCCAATGGGCTGCTTCTCTTCCAGCCTCCAAGACCCTATTCCCACCAGGAGCCGTGCTCTTGCCCCCACAAACCTTGCCTAAGCAGGACAGCTGAGACTGCCAGAAGCGGTGGCGGCGTGAGGTGGGGAACGCAGAGCTGGAGGGGCCCGAGGAGGCGATGAGGATCAGAGGAGAGCCAGGGAGTTTGCTCTGAGAAGAGAGAGTCCCACCTGGTGAGTGAGAGACTCATCCCAACCCCCAGGACTGCCTCTCTAGGCTGAGCACCCAACCCACGACCTTTGTTTATGGAACTGTTAGGCACTGATAGGCGAGTGATTAAGGGAAAGGTTACATCCTCCCCAGCCAGGGCTTGAGTCAGAACATCTCAATGCCAGTTACGGCTGAGCCCCTCGACTCACTGGCTTGTTATGAGAAAGCACCCCCACAGCAGGGTCCCAGGGCCTCTTCAGCAGCAGTGACAAGGCCTCAGCTCCTGCAGCCCCAGTCTTCGTGTTGGACGACACAAGCATGCGGTCAATCAAGGTCGGGATCTAGAAGGAAGAAGTTGGAGATGCTTCAGTGTGAAGCACAGGTACAAATAAGTGGCTGCGTGAAGCTGCGTGAAAAGCACACCCCCAGTGTGTAAGGACAGTGGGTGCGCTCTTTTTTGAAAGCAAACTGGTGAAATGCATCTGGGACCTTAGTTTATTCTCATCACTGTTCCAAACAATTTTACTTCTGAGAACCTTCCCTAAGGAATTGTATCAAGCCAGGCATAATGGTGCATGCCTGTAATCCCCAGCAACTTGAGAGGTTGAGGTTGGAGGATCACAGGTTCAAAGCCAGCCTCAGCAAGTTAGTGAAGCCCTAAGTGACAGAGCGAGACTCTGTCTCACAATAAAAAAATTAAAAGGCTGAGATGTGGCTCGGTAGTTAAGGGCGCAGGGAAGCAGGGTTGCCCCGGGTTCAATCCCTGGTACCAAAAAAAAAAAAAGAAATTATATAAAAAATACACACACACACACACACGCACACAACACACACACACACGCACACAACACACACACGAGCAAGGAGAGCTTTGCACAGAGACAAATTCTCTGTCAACAACAATCAAAACACAGAAACAACCTAAATGAGTAGCTAAGTAAATTATCAACCTAACTAGATATTATGGATTATTTTCTTTTTGGGTACCATGAAGTAAACCCAGGGGCACTTAACCACTGAGTCACATCTCCAGCCCTTTTAATTCTTTATGTTGAGACAAGGTCTCGCTAAAGTTGCTTGAGGCCTCACTAGTTGCTTGAGGCTGGCTTTGAACTCACGATGCTCCTGGCTCAGCCTCCAGAGCTACGGGGATTACATAAGTACACCATCATGCCCAGCATGGATTATTTTCAAATACTTACTAAATCAAGTATAACCTACAGAAATAATTGGCATCAGGCATGGTAGCCATGCTGTAATCTCAGTGACTTGAAGGATTCTAAGTTTGAGGTCAGCCTGAGCTATAAGACCCTGTCTCAAAATTCAAATAAATAAAAGGCTTGGGGATACAGGTCAGTGGTACAGCACCCCTGGGTTCAATCCCTAATATTGAGAGAAAGAGAGAAACAGACAGAGACAAAGAAGGAAGAAATATTTTTGCTAAAATGCTATAGGTAAGACTTTCTACTCAGAAAAAAAAAGGCTTATGTAAAACATGCCAAATGTCAGTATAATAATGATCACTGTGGAATTATGGGTGACTTTTCTTTGTATATTTTTGTATTTTCTAAATTTCCTCAGTGAACATTTGCTGATTTTATAATTTTTTTAAAAAATTACATTTTCTTCTGGAGTATAGCCTTCAAGTTGTGGCTTGTTAATGAAACCTATTATTGTGTTCAAAAAACACATCCAACTATATTGTGTATATCATGATTTATACCAGCCACCAAAGATGTGACCTCGGAGATGTATAAATATAGGTTTAAAACATGCTGATGCTTACACTGCAAAGAACTATCTGTGTGAATTCCACACTGCCCACAAGAGGCCAAAGTGATCTCATGGAAGGAAAAGGTTTTTACACATTGGAGATCCTTTTCAGAAAGAAAAAAAAAAAGTTTTTGAGAGATTGGAGAATGAAAAGTATCATAGTTTGATGCAGGCTGTTAGACTTCAGAGATACCAGGAAAAGATAGGCCACTCTCAATTTGAAGAGAGAGAAACCAGGGGCTCAGTGACAGAGCACTTGCCTAGCATTTACAAGGCCCTAAGGTTCGATCCCCACCCAGCACTGCCAACACAAAAAGACTTTTGCATGAGAAATTAGGGGATATAATTATGAGAACGTTTTAGTTCACTTAGAAAATAAATATGCAGCCAGGCGTGGTGGCATATCCCTATAATCCCAGCAGCTTGGGAGGCTGAGGCAGGAGGATCGTAAGTTCAAAGCCAGGCTTAGCAACTTAGTGAGGCCCCATTTCAAAATGAAAAAATTTTTAAAAAGGGCTGGGGATGGGCTGGGGATGTGGCTCAAGCGGTAGCGTGGCTCGCCTGGCATGCGTGTGGCCTGGGTTCGATCCCCAGCAGCACATACAAACAAAGATGTTGCGTGTGCCAAAAACTAAAAAATAAATATTAAAATTCTCTCTCTGGGTTCAATTCCCAGCACCAAAATAAATAAGTAAATAAATAAGTAAATAATATGCAACAGCTGCTCTTACAAAGCACCAGGCTAGGGGCTGGGGATATGGCTCAAGGGGTGGCAAGCTCGCCTGGCATGCGTGTGGCCCGGGTTCGATCCTCAGCACCACGTACAAATAAAGATGTTGTGTCTGCTGAAAACTAAAAAATAAATATTAAAATTCTCTTTCTCTCTAAAAAAAAAAAAATTAAAAAACAAAACAACAACAACAAAAAAAACAAAGCACCACGCTAGTCCTGCAGAGGAATTTAACCTGTGAGGGGTGAGGAAGACAGACACACAACTAACATGGGCGCAGGGAAACAGGGTGCTAGCTGTCATGGAGCAGTGGAAACCCCACAATGCTAATTCCCACCATCCTGTGGAGAAGGGGTGGCTCACAGGCAATTCTCATCTGAAGATGGCAGCTCGTGAAGTGAGACAGGCGCAAGGAACAGGCAGGATTCCAAAAGATGAAACAGTACCAGAGGCAAGAACAGGTGGGGCTTATTCGAGGCACAGGTGGACTCAAGTGGAGGATCCGCTTATGGAAGTAGGGGAGTGTAAAACTAGTGACAAAGGCTAACCCAAACTACCAAAGAACTCCACCGAAAGCTGGCTAGGCCTGCAACTCCCTCTCTGCTCAACACTTGGAGGCAGTGGATTCGACCCAGGCTGACTTCAAGAGCGTTGCCTGACAGCAGAGTACACCTGGAAACGCCAAAGCCTCGAAGCTCCCCTTCTGTCAACAGTAAGTAACCAACAACTGACTCTTCCACTTGGTGCTACAGGAAAACCAAGCTCCCTGCCTTTCCAGCAGTGCACTCCCTCTTGGCACACAAGCAGGAGGCTGCGCCCAGACCTTCCCTGCCCTCTTTATAATGGAGCCAGTGGAGACGGCAGGTGGGCCAAGAGCAAGATCCCCATCAGCTGCATCTTAACACCAGCAGGTACTTTAAAAGCAAAAGAACTGGGCTGACATTGTGGCTCAGTGGTAGCGCATTTGCCTAGTATGTGTGAGGCACTGGTTTGATCCTCAGCACCACATAAAAATATATAACTAAAACAGAGGTATTGTGTCCATCTACAATTAAAAAAAAAAAAAAAAGCAACAGAATCCCATAATCATTTATACCCTTTGAGAAACCACCAGAGTGTGAGTGAGTGACATAGTCTGGCAGTAGAGGAAGCACCATGGAGAGCATACCCAGTGGACAGCGCAAGTATTGGGAACCCTGCTGACTAGTATACCAGTGAAACTTGTGCCATTCCAGCAAACCAGCAGCGTGGCTACACAGTGCCCACCGGTGGAGCCCCTCATGCTCACCTGAATGCACCTCATTCACACAGGCCACACCCAGCTGGGGACTTACATGGGGGAAGAAACACAAACTTGCTTCTAAACCAAGGAGAATCAGCAGGGTGTGGTGGGGCATGCCTGTGATCCCAGCAACTTGGGAGGCTAAGGCAAAGGATCAAAGTTCAAAGCCAGCCTCAGCAACTTAGTGAGACCCTCTCTCAAAATAAAAAAATAAAAAGAGTTTAGTGGTTAAGCACCCCTGG